GCCGCGCTGACCCGCAGCGAGCAGGGACGGACGCCCGCCCGTCGCCGCCACCCGGCCGCTATGGATCTATTCGACTTTTTCAGGGACTGGGACTTGGAGCAGCAGTGGTAGGTTTTGATTTTTGCTTTCTGCTTTAATGAGCGGGTCCCCAGGCGGGGTCTGGGATTTTCGCCTTTGTTAAGAGGAGCCAGAGCTGTCGTGGGGGGCGCCCCGGACGCCCTCCCACTTGCTCTCAGCCACCTCTGGCCCCAGCAGCGGGTGACTCCTTGGTTGGGTGCCGGGGTGGGGGGAGGTGCGTGGAGAGAAAATGATGCTGGCAAAAGCGTCGCTTTGCACTCCAAGTCCAAAGAGTTGCATTTGGCCCACATCGGATCTGGGGCCACCCATCCCGGGCATGAGCTGCACGACCTCTGCTGAGCTTTTTTTCACCAGAGTCTCACCAGCTCGGCCTCTTTGCGCCCTGGATGCGTCCCCCTGGAATGCCTCAACTTTCCAGGTGCCCTGCGTCCGCTGCGGGAGGTGGAGGAACGGTGGCGGCCAGGCGGTCAGGTGCCACTGGACACTGTCCCTCCGCTTCCTCGGCGACCACCGCCCCCGCTGCCACCACCTCCATCCCCGCTGGTGCAGAGCAGCGCACACACCTTCCCTAAAGCCAGCTCAGCCCAAGTTCCCATCCCTCCAGCGCGGAGCAGTGTTTTTTGGGGGGCCACAGCACGATAGACCCCAAATCAGGGACGGCTTTTGCGCTCGGGTTTCTAGATAGGATTTTTGGAAGTTGGCCCTCAAAGTCAGCTGCTCCGATGCCAATGCGCATTTAATTACCGGCTGGGCCCCCATCAGCCTCCCACTGGGAGGCAGCCTTAGGTTTGTGTAATGGACACTCAACTCGGATTCAAAGGTTTCGTCTGCCCTTCAAAAAATACCCAAAACTTGTGGTTCAGAGAGATTTTGAAAGATGGTGCAGAGGTGACTGGGGAGCCAGAAAGTTGTTACTCTCTGCGTGATGTGCTGGCGCACATACATAAATACTGATACAGGAATCGATTGACTTTTTAAAAACTTCACCTGTATTACAAACGTTATTGTCTGTTATTTGTCATTTTATTTTAACAGGACAGTTTTTCTTTACAGCCCAAGGAATTAGATGGAAAGGAAGGACATGGCGGCAACCACTTAGAATTGCACTCTTGGCTATCACCCTTTTAAGTGTAGTTAGAATAATCTATAGTGCCCACCAACAGTGCGGAATCTTTTGCAATCTTTCAACTACTATCTGCCGTTGGCTATGAATGCTGTGCATTTTTACAAGGGATTCCCTTGTTGCTGTGATATTTTAGGTAATTCCCTTCTTTTAAAAAAGGGTCTTATGTTTGGATAATACCTTCGTTATACCAATCATGACTCCTTTAATTGCAAACCCAAGATAATCAGAACTTAAATACATTTTATTTTGCAGCAATTTTAGATAATTCTGTGAAGCACAATTTACGCTGTGTCAGTATTAATCTATGAGGTATTTTTGAAACCATACAGGGTTTTATCAGCTCTGCAGAAAAACATTGTTACATTTTTAAAAAATCACACTGTTGCTATTTAAAAGTGAAAATCACAATAAAATTACTGCTCAATTAAATATTATGCTTTTGCACATAGTCTTTACTCTGCTTCAGTAATTTATTTTGCAGAAAACTGATAACCACAGCTTCATTATTTGCATACAATTTGCCTAATATGTGGTGTGGGTCACATCCTTAATTTAACAGACACTTATAATTTATTTCATGGGTGTAGTTCAAATGTTAAATATATACAAGGTATTAGGTCTTTAAAATGTTTATTATATTATTTTAATTCGAGTTTAATTTTACATACAGTTGAATGGGGATGGGCTCTTTTATATTTGATTTCTATTTTTCCAGGAAATGTGTCCCTTCCCCATTTGGGAATCTATATTTTCTAAAGGAAAATGAAAAACCTTTTTCCCCTGCAGATCACTATGCCACATCGGTTAAGAAACATGCAGACTTGGGCAAACAGTGGATATTATATGAAATACTGATGAATTGGTATAGCATGTCTGCATGAATAAACCCATCTTTCCCCTCTGTGCGCATGATCCAGGACCATTTCTCCTTTTTACTCTTCAATTGTGAGGATTAAGGATCCTTGTGCATCTGTGTTTACAAACATTTGTAATGCAGTTGTGCTTCTGTGTTTTGTACACCCCTGTAGTAAAAGAAATACACAGGTAACAGTGGTAGAAGAGCTAAAAAGGTTGACATTGTCTTTAATAGAAGTCTGTACCTTTCCAAACTCTTTGGATGTCTAAAGAATGCTGGGTACACATTCATTATATGTTTACTTCTCTCCCTTGAGAGTTACTGCTGAAAGTGATGCCATCTCCTCCCCACAACCTCCCGGGAAGACGAAGGAGTTGGGGGAGGACTCTGCAAAGTTAAGGAGTTCATTTATATTGAGCCTATTCTTAACATTCACTTGTGGAACAGTGAGCTCAGAGCTGTCTCTTCTGCAGCCCTAGATATTTGATAGTAAGTGGATCAGGACAGCTTAAAAACAAACTCGATTTCCTAGACAGAATGAACAAAGACTGTACACACAGAGGCATATGTGTTATTTGTAAACCCTTGACTACAGCAAACAAAAAGTGTATGCCCATTTATAAATACACACAATTGTCAGGACAAGTACAAATGAAAAGATGGGGTCTGAATGATGCTGCAGTGTGCAGGTATGCTCAGTGTTTGGGAATGCTCCCATGTCTAACCGAATGTATCACTGCATTTTACAGACTGCAAGAATACCTTAATGGGTCATGCTCTGGACTCAATTAAAGGGCCAAAGCTCAAGTTCTTTAAGATTCCTGGATGAATGAGCAATGTTCACCTGAATTTGAATTTAATATGAACCATTCTGTGAAAGGAAAGGAAGGCACAGATGTCTGTGTGCATCAAAAACATCACTTATTCTTAAAAAAGGAAGAAGATACAGAAAAAATCAAATATTGTTTTTCAAATCATTTCATAGGCTTGTCTATGATAAACAAGTAAATGGATTCTTGAGGTGTCTGGAGATCATGTGGCTGGATTGGATTTGTTTACCAGCAATGGCCAAGTCATTAATCCCCATTTAAGAGGGACAAAAAACAAAATCAGGGAGCCCACAGATTCTGCTGGCTTTCATTTTTATAAGCATCTACCCTCCAGTATTGATTAAGTATTGCTTTGTGACAAATCAAGGTTCTTTGTGGATTGGTTATCTTTTACTTTATTTATTTAAAGATTTTTTTTTAGTTGTAGATGTACATAATACCTTTATTTTATTTATTTATATTTATGTGGTGCTGAGGATCGAACCCAGTGCCTTACATGTACTCCACCACTGAGCCACAACCCCAGCTCCTTATTTTTTATTTAGAAATAAAGAAATGAAGAAAATACAGAAAAGAACAAATTCTAAAAATAAAAAAAAGCCACCATGACAGCAAAACCAAAATGTTAAAAATCCTAGTGAAAATTGTAGTTAAGTGTTTGTGACAGTGGCCGGCTTCTCACTGTGAAGGACGGGATCAATTGTTTGTAGTTTTTATGTGATGTCTCACAAGTAGCCTAATTAGAGGCGAGCTTGCAAACGGGCAGTTATACAGGAAGAGACTTAAACTCACTAAACTGTTATATAAATAGAAAGTTCAAAGGTCTGTGTGGGGCTGTCAAGCCTGAGAAGGGGCCATGTGCAGGCCAGGCTTCTCCTCCTTGGGTTAAGGCAGCCCCTGGGGCCTGTCCCAGCAGCCCACACTTTCCCCAGTTTTCCTGGACCTTGTGGGGGCTAAGGGGGGAGGCCGTGCTCTCCAGACAAAAGTGAACTGTTCCAGCGCCAGCCGGGCACGGCCCCTGTAGCCCCTCAGCCCTGCTGCCTCTGCCTGCTCCATGTGCACAGGTCTTGGAAAGCTTCTTTAGCTGCAGCCCTCTGGTTGGGAAGGCATGGGAAATAGAGGGGACATTGCCTTTGCCAACCTGGACTACTGGGACTATGGCGTATTTGTGTGGGGGGCTGTTTTCACTACCACCTAGTGATTCCCAGGATTTCTTGTTCTCTACCTCCATCCATTTATCATTCCCCCTTTCCCTCAGTAGTCCATTAAAGGGAAGATTGTGTGTGTGTGTGTGTGTGTGTGTGTGTGTGTGTGTTCCTGCTACAATATGCCTTCTCCACTCTGAGTATTCACTCAGCAAATGTTTTGGGGTTGAATTTCTTAAGGGAATATATGGGAAGGAGAGATTAAAGGTGGTGAAAGTAGCTAGTGATAGATCTCCTCCACAATCTCCCAACCCTCACCACCCAAATGACAAAAGCTATCTTACTAAATCTTAAAAGACTTATTTATTGGATAAGGAAAAAAATTCTCTCGTGTTAGAAATCAGTTTAATGATACATGAATTGTTTTGCTAATGATTCAGTCAAGCATTTAACAATTTTAAAATATACAAATCAAGATAGAAAATGATTGCCTCAAAAACAAATCTGTCATTATAGACATAAACGAGATTCCAAACATTTAAGCATTTTGTAGATGGATAAAAATTATATTGTATTTAAACATGCTAATTATTGTTGAATAGAAATGGCTTTAATGTGCTGAACCTTTATTTCATGCCCATTATTCTTAGCTAAGACTATTTCTTGCATTCATAATTTTCACATATTTAATGTAATTTCAAAATTCTAAAAGTCCAATAAACTGGCCATCTCTGGAACAATATAGAAGCTGTAGCCCTAAGAGCTTATAACCTTAGTTCATATCTCAAATAGGGAAACCACCATATATTTGATTAGAGTGTCATGTAGACAAAACAATTGATACAGTGATTACATTTTTCACTTTTATTTTTGTCTGTCTTTTTGTGATTGATACGGCTTAAAGGAAGAGACATTTGAAAAATGTGTTTACTGATAAATGAAAAGAAGTATATTGTTGATTAAATCACTCAAGATCACAACATGGAGAAATTATTTTGAGAGGGTGCATACGTGTGTTTTACCTGTGGTAGAACTTGTCCTCACTATTACAAATTAGGTTTTGTGTGATCCA